TATATATATATATATATATATATATATATACATATATATATGGAATGCACACAGCTATTTTCCAGAATGGTCCATGTTTGAATATTCATAGCAGCACTATTAGGAATAACTAAAAATTGGAAGCAACCAAATAATTACCAAGAGAAGAATGGATAGATAAATTGAGGTGTATCCATACAATGGAATCATACAAGGAGAATTAACAAACTACTGCTACCTGCAACAATAAGGTTGAATCTCATAAACAAATATGTTGAATAAGAGAAGCCAAATATAAAAGATTATATAGTGTGTGGTTTCATTTAGGGAAAACTAACCCATGGTGCTAGAAGTCAGAACGATGGTTCCACCTGGGTGGGAGGTTGTGACTGGAAGGGGACATGGGAGATTTCTGGGTGCTGGCAATGTTGGTTCTCAAGCTGGGTGATAGTAATGTGGACATATATGTATGGTAATGTGTATGTATATGTATTTCAATTGCAATCAAAACTTTATAAAATTTTAAAAATTAGATTAACTTCTACTTTATGGGACAAGTAAGATGTGAAATGTTTGAAATGGTCCCTGGACAATTCCAATATGTGAGTTTCTCCCCTCCTGCCTATTGTCTTGGAGCCCCACGAGTCCCTCATAGTAGCTAGTCTACAGCAGACACACCATAAATGTTGGCTGGTTTGCATTTAGTGCCCCAGCCTCCTTTCTCAAGGATATAGCTCATACAGTAAAAAACAGGTAACAGCTTAAAGCGCTTTCCTAATACCTCCCCCAAATTGACTGCACTTGACCAGTGTAGAAGTATGCAATTAAAGTAGAGAAACTGAGGTAGAATTATTGTCACCATCTAGGACAGGCATCTTTCTGACCCTGAAAAGCTGAAACCACATGGCAGAGGGGAGAGACATGGCTACAACTTTTGGCCAGAGGCACAGGTCATTAGCTCCAGACATTCAAAGGATGAGACTCATCTTAGTGCCCACATTTCTCCTAATAGGGTCCTTGGAATTCACATTCCTGCCCATCACCTCAATACCAGGCAAAACCCTGGGGTGCTAACAGATTTCCTAGGACCCCACAGAAACGGACCTCACAGATACATACGTATTCAGGAATTTTTAGCCTCTGCTTCAGTAGCCAACAAGGTGACAAAGTGGGGCCAGAGCAGTTTCACACTCTCTGTGATACACGCTGGGATTCTGGGTAAAAACTCACTGTGAAACAGAAGTTTGAAACCACTGCTGTCTGGTCTAAGCCACTTGTTTGACAAAAGGAGGAAACTGAGGTCCAGACAGGGGAAGGGACTTACCAACAGTCACACAGCTAGCCCACTGAACTTCTCAAGACTTCTGTTGATAGCCATCCAGCCCCTCCAAAGGTGGTGTGGGGCTGGGAAGTCAGTGAGCTCCTGGGGGACAACCTGGGAGATGTTCAAGCCTGAAAAAAATCACCTCACATTCACAAAGCCCTCTCCCCCACTGTCCATAGTTCACTCTACAAAATAAGCTCTCTGAGTTCCTCACCCAGTAAGTGACAGAAATGGGACCATGGCAGGGACAGGCAGAGGTTTGGGTCAAACACAAATGACTGTCCACTCATACACACCCACATTAGGAATCACCACATTCACACTGTGGGGAGGCTGCCAAAAAGGGGGGGATTAGAGAGCCCTTCTAGCCACTCCTGGCTTTGACCCACCACAATCCCTGACGAGGAAGTTGGGGCACAAGAGGTCAGCCACCTGCCTAAGCTGACATGAGAAAAACTCCTGGTAAAGATCCAGCTTTGCTTGTTCACCTCCTCATCTAACAAATAGGTTTCAGGGAGGCCATCAGGGTCAGAAGCTTGTCCCAGGACATCAGATGTCCACCCACATCCACATACTCCTAAACCTCTATCCAAGCCCTGCAGGAAGGTTCCGAATTATCAGTGGGGTCATTTTAGGTGCTGAAACACATCTTTGGGAATAGGGAGGAAAACGGCTCTAAAGTAACCATGAAGTTGACACCAGCACCGCTCAGTCAACACCCAGAGGCAGTTGGGAAACAGTGTTAGAAACCCGAACAGCAGCCCCCAGCTGCCCTCCACTGTAGTTTAGAGTACAGGGTGCCAGGGGCTGTGCTCCATCTGCCTGAGCCAGCCAGCTATAGTGTCCTCTCCAGTGTGCATTCCTTGTGCACCCCTAACTTACCACTACCTGCATGGCTTCAAAGCAGCTCACGTCACAAGAGCTCGTCCTGCCCTTTGAAAGCCAAAACTCATTTCCACCTTGCAGCGTTACAGTGAGGATTAGCCAAACCAAGATACGCTGTGAGATATCCACAATGCCTGTCCAGAGTCCGGGCCAAGCCCTGGCAATGCTCTTCCACCCCAGCGTGCAGAAGACCCGCTGGCTGCCTCCACGCGCAGCTGAGCTCTGCGGCACCCTAGTGCTGCCCCAGCGGGGCTCCTGAAGCAGGGGCCTGTAGCTCATTCAGCCACATTGGAGGCTCCCGACGTACTGAGCACCCTCCTGGCAACAAATCCTGGGCCGCGGGCACAAGAGATGTGAAAGACAACAGAAACTGAGAACCTCGGTCTCTCTCCTCCCGAGCATGCTCTTCCCTTTTGAGGGGGCTTAACTTGATGGAAGTCTGCCCCCCATCCGCGCCAGGCCTCTGCTTGCCGCCCCAGCCTGATAGGCTTCCGAGCGTGCCTGGGGTAGCAGCGTGCAGATTGGCGACCTGATCCCGGACACAATGCCCAGGGCACTGCCGGCCATACCCCGGGCCGGCGTCAGGGATCCACGAAAGAGCGCCCCAGGACTCTGCCCCGTCAGACCCAGCCCCTGGCGCTGCTGCCGTCGGGCTGCCTGCTTGCCCGGTCCCGCCCGTCGAGCCCGCAGACCAGCACTACTCACGGCTGGAGGCTGTGAAGCGGCGGCCGCAGCGAGCACGACGGGACGGGGCGCGGCGGGGTTCCCGGCGCCCAGCTCCACTCTTCTAACACAGCGCCCAGCGCCGGCCGGCAGAGGTGGAGGAGCCGAGGGGGCGGAGCGGCCGGCCCTGTCCCAGGCGCCGGCTAGAGGCGTGCCGGGCAGGCGGCCGGCCCGAGTTCTGGGCGCCCCCTGCTGGGAACCCCCTTCAGGCCGCCCTGCTGTGAGGGCCTAGAGCCCTCCTACTGTTCCCCGAGGTCACCTCAGGGCTCTGAGGCTCCCAAGAGACCCAGCAAGAGGTGACATCAGAGCGTCCTTTCCCACTCTTGCCCTTTATTTACTGGGCGGCCTTGGGCAAGTCAGCTAACCCTCAAGTCTTGTCTGTTTGACTTAAATGAACCAATAGGTGTACTACATAGTCTGGCCAACTGCTCAGAAAACAGCATTTCCAGGCACCCCTGCCTCACTCCAACCCCTGCCCAGCCCCTGCACCCAGAGTATTCCCTGATTTCGCACAGATTCTTCTGGGAAATCTCACCGCCCACAACTCTCAGCAGAGTACCAGCTGTGATGGGAACACTCCCTTCCTCAACTGCCCCCACCCAGTTTGGGGGGTTCCCGGCTCACTGCCCTTTGCAGCCCTAGTCCTGACACTGCTAGTGAAACCCCCACATCACCAAATTTATTTTCCTAATGAAAGACTTGGGAGTGGATTCTTCCTCTCTTTCTTCTTTCCAAAGGAAAAAATAAATGATAGTGGAGGAGGTGATGGGAGAAAGGAAATGGAAACAAGCTAAACCAAGTTCAGTGGTCTTATTTCAAGACAAGAATCCTGTTAGCAGAAGAAAACAAAGTCTCCTTCCCAGAGCTTTTATTGCTAGATCACCAATGGGACTCCCCCAGAGAGCTGAGTGTTAGATGCAGAGTCCTATGGCCTAGCTCAAAGCCATATTCTGCCCTCCCTATGTGTGGTCTTTGAGTGGCTCTTCCTTCATCAGTGAAATGGGAGAAACATCCCTTTCAGTAGTTTCTAGGGGAGCTACTGTGGTGCCAGAATGGGATAGTAAGATGCACTTAGAGGAGCTTTACCAATGTGCACCTACTGTCCCAGCTTTAGCCTTGTTTTGGGGGCAAGGTACCAGGAATTGAACTAAGGGAGCACTCGACCACTGAGCCACATCCCTGATCCTATTTATTTTATTTTATTTTATTTAGAGACAGGGTCTCACTGAGTTACTTAGTGCCTCACTTTTGTTGAGGCTGCCTTTAACTCAAGATCCTCCTGCCTCAGCCTCCAGAGCCACTGGGATTGCAGGTACACCACCATGCCCAACGGCTTTAGCCTTTTGGACACTGGGATTCTGACAGATACAAATAGATCCTGCCCCACAGCAAGCAGTGCCTCAGCCTCTTGGAAGATCCCAGAGCTTCTGCACAACATTCCAGGACAGGGTAGGCTCTGAACCTGTCCTGAGAGCACCATGCTATGTGGGATAACATCCACCATCAGAGGCAGCTTCTGAAGTCAGTGGGCAGAGGGGAAGAATACCCACTAATGAGGTCTTACCTTCAGAGGGAGGCCCCTCACCCTCCAACCATCCCTGACACCTGCTCCCCCATTTCCAGTTATCTATTTCTATATAACAAACCATTTCAACCTTGGTTTTACAAAACAATGATATCATTATATTAAGGCATTCTGAGAGTCAAGAATTCAGACAGCTCAGTGTAGGGGGCTTATCTCTGTTCCACAACATTTGACTTCAACAGGGAAGTCTAGATTGCCTGGCAGTGACTTAGATGGCTGGCGGCTAGAATCATCTGGAAGCATCATGTCCAGTGCCTGGGCTGCAATAAGTTCAAGCATGAACTCAGTTGACACTGCTGAGCACCTACCTGGAGGTAGCTGCTCTACCTCTCTCCCCTAAGCCTCATGTTCCAGAACTAATTTTCAGCAGTAACATCCCCTTATCTGAATCAAAGCAGACATTCTTGAATCTGGCAGTTGGAAAATTAGTCAGAGAACATTGTAGCTCAAAAGGTCATTGTCAGTCAACCCATCCATCCCAGCCTTTTTTCAGACGAGGAAACTGATGCTCAGAGAAGGGCAGTCACTGGCCCAAGACCACACAGATGGTGAGAAGCAGAGCTAAGATTAGAACAAGGTCTCCTCCAGATTCAGTCTCAGGGTCCTTCCATTGTACCTGCCAACATGCATTTGCTATTTGGAGTTGCATTTTATGCCTGAGGCTGAGATTTATCAGATTCTCACCTGAAGGCAGAAACGGGATACTGAGCACTGAACATTTGGGACTAAGGTAGCAGTAGAGAGAGAAAGGGAAGCTCAAGATAGCAGCACCAAAGATACCTACTGCAGAATGAAGCCAGCGGAGGTTCAGGTATTAAGAGCTAAGAACAATATAATTAAGCTCCAACTCCTGAGTGGTTCGCATAGCTGAACAAATAGAGTCCAATGCCTCGCCCTGGCATGTAAGGTCCCTACCTGCATTTTCCTGCTTATGTATGACTGTCCTCTTTGTTCATGTATGTGCACATCCAGCTCCTTTGCCAGGTTGGATTACTGACTATTCCTACCTCCATGCTTTTGTTCAAGCAGTTCCCAACATCATCCTACAAAATCCTCTCTATTCTTTGAGGGCCCTCTGCAGTATCCTGTTTTCCATGGAAATTTCCATGATCTGCCCTCTAAATGCCTCTTTCCTCTCAACCCCACCACTCTTGGTTTGCACCTCTCTTGCCATTCCTCCTTCTCTAATTTAGTTATGATTAGTGTCTACTTTTCTTTTCTTCACAGCAAAATAATGTTTTGTTCATTTTAAAGCCACAGAGTTCTTGATATCCCAAACCCAATAAAAGTTTGTTAAATTGAATTGCAAGAATATTAATGCCCAAAGGAAAGAGACCACAAATGTCATGTTTTCTATTGTCCCCCAAGAGCATCCAAGTGCCTGGTGCTTGGGAGATGCTGAATCAATATTGGACAGGCAAATGCATAATTAATTTTAATAGCTGCCACATACTACGTTTCTTCTAACATACTTCTTCCCAGTGCTTTATTTCATGTCAAGTGCTTTACTTTAAGGTGAATATTATTCTTCCCTTTTACAGATGAGGTAACTGAGATGTGGGGAAGTTGATTTGACCAAACTCATCCAACTTGTAACTTATTAAGCTGTGATGTGAACCTTGCCTGCTCATCTCCAAAACCCAAGTTTTTCCTACTCCCTCCACTGACTGCCCTCTCTTGACATTTCCAAAATTTCTAAAATTAGTGTCAATGCAGGGAGTACGCCATGTTCAGACTACACCTTAGATCAGTTTTATCAGTACCTGTAGGGGTGGTGTCTGGGCATCGTAGTTGTTAATTCCCCGTAATTCCAATGCACAGACTGAGAACACTTTGTGCATGTCACAGAAACCTGGGGAAATGACAGAATCCTCCACCAACCCACCAAACAGCAAAAACATCTAAGCACTTGCCTTGTGAAAGACACTCCAAAGACTATGAAATGGGAGAGTCAGAGGAGCTTGAAGTTTCTGTAGGATGAGACCATGAGGACCCAGGTTAATGATGCAACTGTGGAAGGCAGAACAGGGAAACGACAATGGCAATATCCTAGAGCATACTTTGGTGTCCGGTGAGTTTACAAAGCCTAACAACCTTCAGACAAGGAGTCAGGGCAAGATTTAAGCTGCTGCATGTGTTGGTCATGGGAGATGGTCCTGGAGTTGGCTTAGAGGATGGATAGGGTGAGGGCTAAATGCAGGAGCTCTGACAACAGACTGCCTAAGTGTGGATCCTAGCAAGCAACTGACTTTACTATGTGATCTAGGGCAGGCTACTAGAGCTCTCTGTGCCTCATTTTCCCCAGAAGTCAAATGGAGCTAATTATAGCATTTGTCTCTTTGGGTTGTTAAAAAACATTTGGTTAGTTATTAGTAAGTGTGGAAGATCAGTGTCTAGCACTTTGCAAAGTGTTCAATGAGAATTAGCTATTTTTGTTATTTTTTAAAATGTCTGGTATGAGCTTCCTTGGGGAGAAGATGGATCTTATTCACCTTTGCACCCAACTCTACCTCCATCTTGATCAAAACAGATTCTTAACAAGTGTCAGATAATCTGGAAGGTGGGCTTCTTGTCACTGGATCCAGTGTGTCACCTTTCTCAGGTGATCAGGCAGACCAGGGGATTCCTCTCCAGCTGGCTTACTCCCTGGGTAGCAGGAAGGCAGGAAGTCTCCTCCTTCCAAAGGTGGCCTACCTTTTCTCAGCCCTTCTGCCACCCTGCTTTGTGCCCTCTGCTCTCCCACACCTATCCAGGCAAATTTGGTGAATTAGATACTTCTGCCCAGCACTTTGAATTCCAAGTAAGTAAAGCCAGGATGTTCACAGTGAGTGTCAACAGC